CAGTGATCTTTTCTGGACACTTTTGAGCTGTCTCTCCCCCACCTTCCGGTGCGTGTTTCTTTCTTTTCTTGTGCACTTGGTTCATTTTTCCATCACAGTTAACAGTGAGTTCTGAATGGTGTGTCTGTCCAGGCAGGATAGACTGCAGTCTGCTGCAGTCACCCACATCCCCAGGGCTAAGGGGTCCAAGTTGCCAGAGGTGGCTGTCATTCTTGCTCACATTACATGCCCCGCACAGTCTGCTCCTTGCAGTCGTGCAGGGGCACAGGCAGATGGGCGGTTACCATCCTGGGTATTTCCAGTGGCTGTGCTGGAGTGACAAGAGGGTTCTGGGGAGTCTTGCATTGGCATTTAAGTGCTTGGGCCAGAAGTAGCCTCGCAGGCCCACCCACCCACAAGGGGGCCAACAGCACCAGGGGCAGCCTCCCAGATTTGCTGCTGACGTTTAGAGTCGCTCTGGTTTTTGCCTTCTAACTTCTCCTACCTCCTCAAACGTAGGCAGCTCTTATCTCTCAACTTCAGTCTCCGTTATTGTTTAAACATGCCCACATCATTCTCACCAGAAAAAGAAACACAATTATCTTGACCCACATCCACCTAAATTTTCTCCATTTTCTTACCTCTATTTCTTACCCTATTCCAGGGTGGATTCTGCCCACTCAGGCCTCTGGAATGGTTCCCTTAGGGCAGTGCCTCTTGATCTTGGCCTTATGTTAAAACAACAGTCCAGCTGGCATGACTCAGTGGTTGAGCATCAACTTACAATCCAAGAGATCTTGGTTCGATTCCNACAGTCCAGCTGGCATGGCTCAGTGGTTGAGCATCAACTTACAATCCAAGAGATCTTGGTTCGATTCCTGGTCAGGGCACATGCCCAGGTTGTGGGCTCGATCCCCAGTAGGGGGCGCGCAGGAGGCAGCCGATCAGTGACTCTCTCATCATTGATGCTTCTATCTGTCCCTCTCTTTCTCCCTTCCTCTCTCTGAAACCAATAAGGACATAAACAACAATAACAAGTAACACCAGCTTTTGAACACGGAGCCTGATTTTTGAAATGTGTCATGTGATTCATTGGTCCAGGGAGTCTGTGGTCACCCTTTTGTGAAAGTTGGAGCTTGCTTAGTGAGTTGTCTGAGAGCCCCATCACCTGTGGCAGCTGGGGCTCAGTCGCTCCTACAGGACCACGACTGACCTCATGTTTAGGAGCACCAGCTTCAGAATTGGGCTCAGGCTAGAATTCTGGTTCTAACACTTAATTGGTTGTGGGTAAGCACAAAGGCACTGGGTTGGGTTCCTGCTTCCATCACTGGCTTGCTGTGTGGCTTTGGGCAAGTTATTTAACCTCTCTGAACCTCAGTATTCTCAGCTGTGAAAGAGGTAGAGAAACAACCCAACCCCACAGATGAGGACTGAACAAGACGGAGTGTGTAGAGGTGTGTGTAGAGTTTAGCGATGTGTGTGTGTGTATCTGGTAAGTAGTAACTAATGGTCTTCATGGTTAATGTTAATACTCTCTGAAAAGTCCTTCAGGCATTCATGGGTGTGTGTTCTCTCTCTCTCCCCCCTTTTCCCCTTGCAGGTAGAATTGCATGTCCACCTAGATGGAGCCATCAAACCTGAAACGATCTTATACTATGGCAAGTAAGTCCACAAATAAGAGGTCTTCCTCCCTGGGACTTGGGCAGGGTCACCAGTTTGATGACTCTAGCAAATCCAGGGTTGCTGCTCCTTCCCATATCCCTGTGAAACCAAGCCAGCCCCGAGCCAGAAAAAGGGGTCTCTGAGCTGGAGATCCACAGCCCATGTCTTCTGCCTTTGATGCCTTTGACTCTTGTCTTCCTGCTTCCAGGTGAGCCAGGGGGAGCATGCCTCACCTTACACATGGACACACACACACACCACACACACAATGAGTGGAAGCAGTTCCCAGGGCTGAACCAGTCACTGTTTTTTGGCAGAGAACCGGGTAGGTGATGCACCCACCGGGAGGAGGGTATTGTATCCCCATTTTACTGAGGAGAGAGCAGGTTCAGAGAAGTAAAGGCAGTTGCCCAAGGCCACGCAACAAGTAAATGGATAGTCAAGAGCTGACAGGGCCAGCTGACACCCAGGCTTCTCCTGCATCACCATGGAAATAACCTACCGGGAGACGTGACGTGGCTCCCTTTCTGGTCCCAACTCTCGGCATCTCCCAAGTGAGAACACATCCCTTACCTCAGCTCTCGTGGATGCTGGTGGGCTGAAGGGTCCCTGCGCCCCTCCCCCAGTGAGGGAGGCTCCCCCTCCTTTCCTGCGCCTCAAGGGCCCATGGTGGCCCCTCTGCTGTGTCCAGCACAGAAGAGCACAGGACTTTGAAGGCCAGTGGATCTGGATTTGAATCCAAACACGGTTTCCTCGCTGTGATCTAGGCCTCTGTGGTTGAGGGTAAGAACAGGGCCTCCTCCAGAGCTGACCCGGGAGAGGGGGCACTCCTGCCACCCGCCCCTCCCTTGGCAGACCGCGTTCCTCACAGTTCGCCCAACACTCATTTTGTTGGAGCTGGAGGACTCCACCTACCGTTCAGTGCTCCATGGAGGACAGTTGCTGCTCCTTGGAGTTTGCCCAACTCTCAGGAGCATCTCTTCTAACTCCCTGAGCGAGCTCTGGCAAGAACACTTTCCTCCATCTTGCCGCACGTCCAGCAATCCCGCCCTGGGAAGCGGCTAGTGATTTCATTGTTATTTAACTGTAAGTGTGTTCGCATTTACTGCATGCCAACACACCGGGGTCAACTTACTCCTTACGACAACTGGTGAAATAGGTACTGGTATTTCCCCTATATTGCACAGATAGAGGAAACTGAGTCACGATAGCTGAAGTGACTTGTCTAGTAAGCACAGCTGTGACCAGGCCCCCCTCCCCCTGACCTGTGCCCCTGCCACTAGAGGTTTAGGTCAAGTACAGCAGGGAAAATGCTTAGCTCAGGGCTCCAGCAAAGGCACTTAATGAGGATGGTGTTATTAATCATAACCAGTGGCTCTGCTAATGGGGTAAAGCATTTGGCTTATCTCTGCCCGTCCTTTGCTTGTGTTGAGTGCCAGCTGTTGCCACAGGGCCCTGATGAGGCTGTTAGGGCGGGTTAATGGGGGCCAAGCTGGGATCTAATCGGGGTGCTTGTTAAGAGGTCATAGAACACTCAATATCATAGCAAGGAGGTGAGTGCCAAGGGCGGGGTGGAGGGAAAGGAGCCACCAGTGTTGGGTGGCTGGATGGATTTTCCATTTCCTATGTCGCCTGTGGGTCTCGGGAACAGTCTTGGCCCAGGAGAGGAGATGCGGGTGCCAGGTGGAGTTTGATCTCGAGATCAGCAGGCAGGAGGTGCGGGGAGTGGGTCAGATTCCGATATGGGCAGCCCTGGAGGACTCCGTGGTGGCGGTGGGCTAGGACTGAGAGGCAGAGGGGGAGGAGGAGGAGGGGAGGGTCTGGCCTGTGACCTACCCTCCAGGCCAAATCCAGTGCCCCTTTCCTGGCTCTGACTGAGGCCGCCATTGATTCTGTTTTCACCTGTTTCTTTTCCCTGTGAGTCCATCCCCTCCAGGGCTTTCTGACTCTGGCTCCTTCACGACCCCATCAGCTCTTTCTCAGAGGCCCATTCTGAACCTGGCTGGTCTCTTTCCTGTCACCGCCATGGTCTGAGCCACCACTAGTCCCTCACTTAGACTACTGCAGTGGCCTCTTGACTGGTCTCCAGGAGTCCACTCTGGCCTCCCTCATCTACCGTCTCCACCACACTGTAGTCAGAACAATCGTCTTAAAACATCTGATCAGCTCACTCCCCTGCTCAAACCCTCTCCCACTCCCTCCCACCTTGCTCAGGGTCAAAGCCAAAGTCTGCATATGGCCCTTAATGTTCTACAAAGCCCAAGGGAGATCTCTGACCTCTTCTACTTCTTGCTTAGTCCACACAGGGTGTTTCTCAAACATGCCAGACCTAGTAAACGGAGAGGGTGGGCCACACAGCCTTTATAACAGAGCTGGGATTAAACCCAGGCCATCTGGCTTCTGGGTCTGTCTCATGTGTTCTTCTCTGTACCTGCAAAGAAAATAAAATATTCTCTGAGTTTTACTGACAAGGATGTGGAGGTCCTCTGAGGAGGGGCATGGACTTCGAGCTCCGAAGCCTGAGCTCGTCTTCCACACTGGGCTCGTGGCCAGGCTCCTTGGAGGCGCGTTGCCCACCATGGCGGGAAGAGGGCAAGGGAGGTGGAGTCTGCGGAAGGCTCCCGCCTCCGGTTTGGCGGTTCGGTGGAGCAGCTATACTTGGAAGTGTGGAGCCCAGGACGGGGAGGGGAAGGAGGCATGAGCTGCCCGCCTTCCAGGGCTGGTCTGTCTTGGTCGCTGCTGTCCACTCATTGCCCAGCACATCACGGGCGCTCAGATGGCGTGTAGAGCTAGTTGGAAACTGTGGACTTCTGGGTCCTTCCTGGGTTGAAATCCATGAAAGGAGATCTGGAAGAGAATGGCCAGGAGGCAATGCCCCAACAGGAAACGGTGGGGTCCAGGGCAAATGTGGCCCCTGCATCCGCCAATATGGGAGCCAGAGCCTGAGTGCCACCTCCTCTGCTCACAGCCCACTGGCTCCCAGAAAGATATCCAAAATACAGTATTTACCAACTAGTGCAGGCTCTGCAGCAGCCCTGGTTACTGAGGATGGCCTCACGGGGGTGCCTTTGGGGCAGGCTGGCCAGCAGTGGGAGAAGGCTCAGTGGGCCCTGAGCACCTGCCCTCGGTTCAGGACAGCGCCAAAGGTGCCATCTGCCCCTAGCATCTTGCAGGGATGCGGACCCGTGAGGAGCCATGGTGACCCTGGGGATACCCACTGGGCACTCATACGGATTGGGGCTACCCGAAGGGGAGGAAGGCATATTCAGGGGGCTTAGGGAGCAGGTATTTAGGTAGGGAAACATTTTAATACTTGAATAACAGAAGGCATTAAAGGACTGAAACACTATTTAGTCAAACTTCCATTTCTTTGACAATTTCCTCCCCCTATCATCTTGCTTTGTGGGTAACTGAACACTTCTCGATGCCCCCCCTTTTTAAATCATCTTGTCTTTTGTTCCACTTGCTGGAGAATTCTGTCCTTTGTTTTCCAGCCCTTTTGTTACATCCTGATGGCTGCTGCCATATTCTTTTAAATTTCCAGCAGCTCTTTCTTACTCGCACAATGTCCCCTTTTTAAAAATCAGTGTTCTTGTTTTAAGGATGTACCATCCTTTCATCTCCTTGATCATGCCCATTTTAAGGTTCAAGTTTTCTTCTGTTTCCTGCATTTTTAGTTTCCTCAGAGCTCCTTCGGTCTCTTGATTTGTCCCTTGTTATTGAAGAGTTTCTTGAGTGTGTGGTGTCATCTCTTTTATCTTAAAAGTGGGACAACTGTGGCCCAGGGTGACCCATGAGTCACAGCGGAGCCAGGATGAGCAGAGGGGGCTGGGTGTGCAGAAGGCGGGAGCCAGCCCAGCCCTGAACCCTGCTGCCCTGGCTGGGGAGGCGGAGATGCTGACCAGACAGGAGGCTCCAGGCCAGGAGGGTTGTTCTCAGCAAGGCCTTACTGAGTGGTGACTGGGCCGGGAGGAGTTCGACGGCCAGCTCGCCCGCCCAGCCCTCTCCCAGCACACTGGGCCGGGCAAGCCTCTCTGATATGTTGGCCAGAGAGCAGAGGAGGGAGCGCCGGTACTTGCCCTGGCCCCTGCCCTGTAGTTATTACCCCTGATAACCCCTGAGCTGGCATAGGTCCAGTTGGCTGTACCCACTCTTGGAGCTGAGGTGGAAGTTGTAGGCTTGCTGCTCTGGCACCTTCTCTGTCCTCAGGTGTGTTTGTGTGTGTGTGTCCATGCACACAGATTTTGACCCCAGTTGCACCCCAACCCTGAAATCCACTGGCTGGTCATGGCCTTGGGGACAGGAGGTGCTGGAAGGACTCAGGTCCTGGTTCTGTATGCCCTGAATCTGTTTTCCCATCTGTCCAGTGGGTGGCGTTGGATGTCCTGCTGTGGCCTCCTGGGGAGTCAGTCATTTCCCCCCCCCAGGGGCAGTCCATCACTCTCATGTTTTGTCCTCAGGAAGAGGGGAGTCACCCTCCCTGCTGACACAGTTGAGGAGCTGCAGGAAATCATCGGCATGGACGAGCCACTCAGCCTCCCAGGCTTCCTGACCAAGTTCAATTACTACATGCCTGCCATCGTGTGAGTTCCCCCACCCTCGGGCGCCGGGCAGCACCCATCGCTGTGCCCTGGAAGGGCTGCCAGCCCCACACCTGCACTCAGCCTGTGGGGAGGAAACTGCAGCTCTGCTTTTCACCGTTGTGTATACTCACTTGGCTTTCCCTTCTGGAAAGTGGGTGTGATGGGCTGAAATTCAACTTCTATAGAGACGTGACAGAATGTGGGGGTTAGGAACACAGACCCTAGTCTCGGACTCTTTCATGGCATAACATTGGGCACATTCCCTCTCTGGGCCTCAGTCCCCTCACTTAGACGGTGAACCTTGTGATCCCATCCATCTCCTAGGGCTGGAGTTCGGACTGACACAGTATTGTCCTCAGCACTGCCGCTCTCACTGTGGAGACAGTCGCCACCTTGACTGACAGCCAGGCACTGGTGCTTTCATGTCTCTTTGCATCCCTTCTGTTTTTTCATAGCAGACTCAGACAGATGAATATAATGCTTGCCCAGCTCAGAACTAGGCTTTCTGTGGTCGTCCGCTAGGTAGACTTACACAGTTCCAGAGGAGGGAATGAAGGCTCAGGGAGGTGAAGGGGCTTGCCCAGGACCCCACAGCTGGCAGGGGATAAAGCCCAGATTCTTGCCTTGGTGCCACCTTGAGCTCCCGGGCAGAGCTTCCTAAGGCAGGTGGGAATCAGCCTTGGCAGTCGGTGTTGCAGGAGCTCAGGAGGGGGAGAGACAAAGCGCCTGGGGTGGTCAGGAAGGGCTGCCTGGAGGAGGAAGTATGGACCTGGCCTTGGGATAGAGAGGGTGTGATATTGTCCAAGGGCTAGGGCCAAGGAAGCCTTGGAGGATGGACCAAGCTCCCGTTGTTGGAGGATCAGTGAAGAAGGTGTGTGAGGCAGAATGGAGGCATTGGCTGGATAAGTGGCAAAACAGGTACGAGGAGTCCTAGGAAAGAAAGACGAGTGGCAAGGTGGCTGACTTCTTGCTAGAAGCTCTTGGGCTCAGCCTGGAAGGCACTGACTGTCCCAATCCCTGCCTCTGGTAAGCAGACACATGCTACTTCCCTGGAAGCACCTGCTGCATTTCCCAAGCTACTGCCACATCAGAACATACGAGTAGGCCTAGGCACCTCTCCCGTGCCACCCCTGAGGCAGCTCCTGCCGTCTGGCCACATGACAGAAGAGGCCCAGCTCCCTGAAGGCCAACCCACTCAGGCTGTTAGACATCACCTCCTGCAGAGCAGCCTGGCCATTTGGGGCCATGGCCTGAGAGACTCTCGCTTTCCACCCCCTTGCCAGCACACACACGGGTCAAATGAGAGCCCTCATCACTTGCCACTTGCCCTTTGGCTTCCCCTCTCCAGCCACACTGGCCTCCTGTGGCACCTTGGGCACCACTCACACCCTGACCTCAGGTCTTCTGATTGCTGTTCCCTCTGCCTGGAATACTGTTCCCATAGATGCCCCGTCGCTCATTTCCTCGCCTCCTTCATGTCTCTGCCCAGATGTCACTTTCTCAGTGAGGTCTTCCCTGATCGTACTACTAAAAACTGCAGTCCCCTCTCTCTGGACATTCTGTCCCCTGCTTTATGTGTACCCATAAAACTTTTCACTAGCTGAGCTAGGATATATTTTATATTTACTTACTTTCCTTTCTTGCCAGCCTGCAGACTCAGGGTAGGGATTTTGTCTACCTTGTTTGCTGACCCCACCCCCGGGGGTTTCCCATAGCAGCTGCCCACCCTCATCCTGGTTCTCAAAGGCACAGGTCCTTCCACGACCCTTCTCCTGGGAGTGGTTCATTTCCCCAGGGGACCTCTTCTCACACAATCTGCTTTCTAGTGGCTACTCCTTTTTCACGCTTCATGGTGGAAACTTCCAGCTAAGGCAGGTCACTGTCATCTGCTCAACACTCACAGTAGCCCTTGCAGGTTAATTTGCGCCTTGCTTCTGGAGCCCATACTCAGAAATAACAACTAAAACACTGAGAATTTGTCTGTTCTGCTCCAGGCACTGGCCCAGGTGAGTTTTATGAGGTTTAACTCATTTGTCCTCACAATAACCCTTTGATGTAGATGTCAAGGAAGGTGACTAACGGGTCATGCAGCAGATAAGTGTGGGAACCAGGATTCAAGTCTGAGTCCCAGGTATCTCCCCCATCCCAGAGTTCCTTCTGGATTTGTCCATCTGTGCCCTTTTCTCTCTTTTTAGTTTTATGGGAGACTAATTTACAAATAGAAATTATATATGTTTAAGGTATACAACTTGATGTTTTGATATATACACACAACTGTGAAATAATTACTAAATCAAGCTAGTTAACATATCCATCACCTCAGATAGTTACCTTTCTTGTGTGTGGTAAGAACTCTTAAGACCTACCTTCTTAGCAAACTTCAAGTATCCAGTATAGTATTACAGAGTCACTGTGTGGTACAACAGATCTCCAGAACTATTCATCTTGTGTAACTGAAACTTTATACCTTTGACCAACATCTCTCCACCCCCTGCCCTTCTGCCCCTGGCAATGACCATCCTACTTTCTGTTTTTATGAGTTCTATTTTAGATTCCACATTTGAGATCATGCATTATTTGTCTTTGTGTCTGGCTAATTTCACTTAGCATAATAATCTCCAGATTAGTTCATGTTGTGAATGGCAGGGTTTCCTTCTTTAAGGCTGAATAATATTCCTCTGTGTGTGAGAGATGTTTTCTTTACCCATTCACCTGTCGATGGATAATGTGGATTGTTTCCGTGTCTTGGCTATTATGAATGAGCATGGGTGTGCAGATATCTCTTAGAGATACTGACTTCATTTCCTTTGGGTAAACACCCAGTAGTAGTATTGCTGGATCATATGGTAGTTCTATTTTTAATTTTTTGAAGAACCTTCATGTTGTTTTCCATAATGGCTACACCAATTTACATTCCTATCAACAGTGCACAAGGGCTCCCTTTTCTTGACCAAACCTGCTATGTCTTGGCTTCTCTTTTTGATGGTGGCCATCCTAACAGGTGTGAGGTAGCATCTCATTGTAGTTTTGATATGTGTTCCCCTGACAATTAGTGATGCTGGCCACCTGTATGTTTTCTGAGAAATGTCGATTCAGGTCCGTTGCCTATTTTTAAATTGGGTTACTTGGGGTTTTTTTTGCTGTTGAGTTATAGGATTTCTTTATATATTTTGTATATTAGCCCCTTAGCAGATGTATGGTTGGCAAATATTTTCTTCCATTCCATAGGTACCTTTTTCACTTTTGATGATTTCCTTTGCTGTGCAGAAGCTTCTCAGTCTGATGCAATCCCACTTGTCTATTTTTGCCCTTGTGGCCTGTGTGTGTCCATTTCTCTTCCCTTCTGGCCTATATCCATCACTCAACAAACATCTGAGTGGCCACTATGTCCCAGGTTCTCTCCTCAGCTGAGGATCATAGCAGTGATAAGATAAATGGAGAAGTCCTTGTCCCATGGTGACTACATTCTAGTAGGGGGGATGAAAACGGCTAATAGAGCATGTGACATGTAATGTCAGGTGGTAATAAGGGCCATGGAGAAAACTAAAGTCCAGGGGAAGGGGTGGAGAATGACAGAGGGGCTGTTTTACGACAAGGTGGTCTGGGAAGTCCTCTGAGGAAGTGAGGCCGGAGCTGGAGGCACAGGACAATCTGGGGAAAGAGCATGTAGGCCGGGGAGCTGCAAAAACAAAAGCTCAGATGTAGGAACAAGCTCCACTGTCCCTTAGACAGAAAGAGCCTCTGGTGGGCTCGCGGAACGTGTGAGAGGGAAGGTGCTGGGGAGGCGGGCAGGGGGCGGATTATACAGGTCTCCTGGATTTCATTCCACGCAAAGAAGCCATTAGGGTTCAGAGCAGAGGAGCAATATGTTTCGATTTGTAAAAGATCTCTCTGGATGCTGTGGGGAGAACAGTCACAGGGAAGCATGGAGACAGGGAGGCCAGTTAGATGAGGTGGTAAGAACCAGGGTGAAGGGGACAATTGGCATACAGTTTGGAGGCAGAGCTGACAGGACTGGCCATGCTTCCAGGATCTTCTCCGGCAGATGCCCAGAACTTGGCACTGGAGGGTAAGGGATTGGAGACCAAAAGTGGGTTTGATCTGCCAAGGGTTAGATCAGTCTTGTTCCTGGAGCTCTGAAGGGACATTGGAGAAGGTTGTCCCAAGTGCTCTCTTCCCTTCCCAGGGGCTGCCGGGAGGCTATCAAAAGGATTGCCTATGAGTTTGTTGAGATGAAGGCCAAGGAGGGCATGGTGTACGTGGAGGTGCGTTACAGTCCACACCTGCTGGCCAATTTTAAAGTGAAGCCGATCCCCTGGAACCAGGCCGAGTAAGTGAGGGCTTGGAGGGGCTGCACCAAGTCTGGCAGAGTGGCCCAACGGACAGATTGTTGGGAGGCCTCGACCCAAGCAAGACTTTGATCTTGCCCCAGTCTGGTCTGTGGCCTCAGAAAGATGGGCTTAACTCTGTCACGAGAGACATGGTTCTCATCCCTCACCTGGGCTTGTTTTCACCTTGGGAGAACGCATTTGCCTGTCTTGTCACCCCTAGTCCTAGACACAGGCTTGCAGTCTAGGAACACTGCTTACCCAGTGACTTCCAGGGGTCCTGCTCTGACCCTGTAACTCAAATGAGTCTAGCCCATTCCTGCCCCCACCTAGGCCTCCAGGGATCTCCAAGTGCCATCACCCAACCACTCTGCCCCTTTCTAGCCATGACCTTGATCCATGTGAACAGGTGGGAATCGAACCAGGTGAGCCTAGCAGTGCTCTCCATCTGACGACAGAGCTGTGTCT